AGTAGATAATTGCCTTCCAAGTCTATTCTTTCAGGAAATGATGTGAGTGTTGCATTGTTCCTAGATGGGGGCAGCAATGTTTTTTAACAAGACACATACATACATATTTTTAAAAGAAACAAAACACAACAAAAACATGCAGTCTAAGCCACTGTACTGAACCAGACTTTTTGAATCTGGTGCAGATAAGAGGCTGGCCCAGACAACGTGTCCACATTTCACATAACTAAGCGCATTCTTTAGAAGGGATGTAAGCAACACTTTTTGTTGAAGGAAAAAAAAAAAAAGTCTAAAACAAAACCCTTTATGATGTGGGAGTAAAAAGCTCATTATGTTAAGTGATATCAAACATGAGCAGAAAAGACCCTAGGGAGAAATTACACTTTTTTATTGGATTCTGTGGGACAAACTAGCCTGGGAACTTGAAAGCACTGGCAAGGTGCACGTGGAAATCACATCATATATGAAGAATAATTTCTTACCGTGTGAAAATTATTTGCAAATAGTTTTCAGCCTAAGGTTTCTCTTTATGGCAGCCATTTCAAAGGGAACATACTGAGGCAATGACCTACAGTAGCACTAATACAATAGCTGCTGGATAACCTCCTTGCAGAAGTATGTGGTCCTAGTCCAGTTCCATGTCGATAGGCAAACATATAATCAGCACTAAAACTTGTAACAACAGAGGCTCAATTTGAGACTCTTACTTTATTTTGACTGAAGATAATGGCAAAAATTCAACTGATTCAACTGAGTTTTTGAATTTCAATTTAATTTTTGATAAAAGTGAGCCTGGAAAGAGGGAACTACTATTTCTTCTTCAGGAGAGGCTGCAAGGGACAAAGGGGCAGCATACTGCTATGGCTTTTCATGCTCTAGTTTGACACCCCCCCCCACTTCTCTAGGACTTGCATTCTCTAAAAACAAACTGAAGAAAGATTTTGCATTCTGTGATGCTGTGGTGATGGTGACTGCCACCTCAGTGACAAATACCAACCACCACTGTACAGCAACCTGATGGAGTGGGCTGCATTATCCATTTCCTCCCTACTTCAACATCTGGCTAAGAAACAAAAGGTCAATAATTAAACAGTTTTATTACATAAAATTCTATCTGTTCATGGATGTTTTAGAGGAAATTGTATTTGCTGTACCACCTGCAAGTCACAGACAGCTGCAAGAAAACTTCAAGACACATACATTCTGGTCATCTCACATTTTTTTTATGGAGATATATATATATGTTTTTTTTTCAATCAGAAGTGGCAGCCTGTGTTTTGGTCCTCTTTCCCTGGAACATGGATATGCAAGAAGCCTTACACAAAGTGAGAGAAAGATGCTGTGTCCTACACTAGGTATCTGTGCAGCATTCGTATTCTGTACTCAAGGTGTCCCAGACAATTAATTCAACACATTTGCTTAATATAATGAGCGCCTCCAAACTTGCTCAGGACACAAATATCGAAGTCCCACTATTCCGAGTGCTTCCTGATTCCAGAAAACTTTTCCACCGTTGTGATGTATGGTGGGCTGCTTATTCTGAAAAAAATTTTGAACCATTTAAACTTTGATATTTTAAAGGGTAATTCCTTCTTAGGATTCCAAATGCTAATTAGTTGTGTGAAATAAAACTGTTAATTAGGTGTACTACTGTAATTCTACTTTAGAATTTCTAACAGTTTAGTAAACATTTTCCAAATTATGCTCAATTTTCTTTAAAATCAGTACACTGGAGCACATTGGAAGGATGCACAGTATTTCCTATTTTATGTAATTCAGCTTAGAAGCTTTCTAGGTGACATAGTAAATATTGGAACAGATTTAGAGCCATCTGGAGAGGGGATTTTCAGGAACCGGAATTTATTTAACGAGGGCTAAAAACATCTGGAAAGGACAAACTTGGGTCCACTCATAAAGGACTTCCTATGACCTCAAGCAATCCGGAACTAAATTTCCCAAAGCTAAAGCTACTGAAAAGTGCTGTGCATATTCTAGAACACATTACAGCAAGAGGCATTTCTGCATATCCTAGTTTGGGAAAGCACTGGCTAGGTACTACCAACAAGCTATGCAAAGCAGGCTTGAAAATTTGTATTACAACTAACTCAAAGACAACGAAAAACGCTTATCCAAGTCCTGTAGTATTTGCTGAGGCAAAAACAAAGGCTATTTTTCTCCGGATTAAAGAATATAGGGACCATAAATCATGAAATGCTGGATGAATTTATAGATTATGTCCATCTAAAAAAATTCAGTAACGATTAACAAACAAAAAACCCAAACAGTGTTTTGTTTCTCACTAAATTCCATTGCATCAAGTTAAAGGCAGTGTCTGCTAAAAACCCAATAATACTCCATTGCAGGTATCCTTGTAGCTACCCAGCAAGTCATTAGTGGAGAAGACTGAGGAAATGTAAGGCTTTATTTCAAATTACAGTTTTAAAATAGAGTATTATACATCCTTCTGTGCAACTGTCCTGAAAATTCATATTGAAAGAGTCAGCTTTTTCACCATCTATAAAATGATGTTAAATAAAATTCTGAATCATTCAGATTTTGATTTGGCCCAGATATAGCATTTAAGAAGGCAATCTAAAACCTAGGTGGATAGCTCTACTAGATTCCTAGTTAGGAAGCACAAATCTGAGCCCCAGATTTTCAAAGCTGCAGTTTTAAGCCCTAGCATGGCTTCTGCAAGCTTTTCTTCTTTCTAATGCTCACTATTATCTTGAGTAAATTTGTTCCTAACTTTGCTTATTACTATATAAAAAACCACAACGGTCCTGCACGCAATACAACACACTCTTCAGAACTGGAAGGTGCATACATGTATTTATAAAAGATTTCTTTCAACCCTTATAAAACTCTCTTTGTTAATTACCCAAAGCAGATTTAAGCATTTTTGACTTCTCCCTTCTCTTTTAAATGTCTGTTATTTGGAATTTTTGAATAATCTTATGACTATGAAAGTTGTGTTATTCATTAAAATCCTACTACAGCAGCTGCAATCCCATCTTCTTGCAGATTCTGCTGTATCTTGACACACAGACCATAAGCTAGACCAACAAGCACTGAGTGTACTACAGCTTTATTACTTGAGAAGTTCATTTAATTATAAACAAGCAAAATAATTGGCCTGTTTAAAAGTGTGTGGTATGGTAACTTTGTTCACAAAATTTTTTGCAAAAGTCTCCAATTCTTTATTATGGCACAGTCTCTACCAATAACCATAAACTTTTGCCTCAAACCTCTGGAAAACCTGACCCACTAATCTGAACAGCAGTGTAAGAATTAAGCTCTTGAAGGTTTTAATCTCTGACATTGAGTCTAACTTCAGACTATAATAAATCTTAATTAGAAAGCGTATTGTGGACAACATTGTTCAGATCAGCACACGTTATAAAAATAATTTTAAGAGGTACCTGTTGTAAGCTTTTTTTGGGACTAATGGGGCAAAATGCTGCTGATAAATAGTGCCATTTTTTATTTAAAAGCATGTGGTTTCATATACAAAAAAATGTTATAACTGAACATTACATTCTACACCTCGTTAAAACAGTCTTTCTAATTTTCCTTCTAGGGCTTGTACTGACACCTACTGGGGAATACTTGTAAACTCAAAATCTATAGCCTTGGGACATAGGAAGCTTTTCAACTCAGGAGTGAACTACACAGGATTCAATTTTTGGTTGATTATGACATGTACTTGATAATCTGACTACTAAAAAATCTCCCGGTTTTTGAGGAAAGATTTAACAAGCCATAAATTGAAATATCAGACAAGATGAAATGTTCCAGCTGTAATTATGGAATTTTTCTATAAGAAGTATTACCTAGTCTTAGCATAGAAAGAAGCAGATTAAGAGCAGATAAATCATCCGTCTCTCTCTCTCCTTCCTAAGATTAAAAAAATGTGATAGGCCTTAGATATAAAACATTCCAAAGAGAACACCACATAGGTTCATTAACAAGGCAGTTAAAACCAAACCAAACCCTTAATTGTTTCTTCAGTTCCTCAGTTTGTTATTACTCCTAAATACAGCAGCAGCAGGAGATGCTTTCCTACAGCAGTTTCAAGGCAGATACCAGTTTCTTGCTATGTATTCTTTAGAACAGAAAGACTAAGAAAATATTCCAGTGATTACATGACTTCCAAACCAACTTCCAGTTACAAAGAACAGTTAAACCAACAGTTCAGTGTAACAAACAGTGCTAACAGTGAAGCAAAAAGTTATCTGTCTGATACAAAGACAGACTGCAAAACTCACCAACCATACCAGGAGTTCACTTAAATGTTGAGGACCCTTTCCAGCTTCTATCGGAATCCAGTACAAATTTCTAGTGAGTTTAACAAGGATTAAATGAATTATCAAGCTTTTTAAAACTATGAAATTCAGTCATATGAATATTGCAAGTATAAGGTAAAACACTTCCTTCATGCACCAGTGACATAAAACTAAAGCTGTTAGTTTTTCTGTTTCTCCCAAATGGTAAAGATTACCAAATAACAAGAATTTGAATCTTACAAAGAAAGTGCCACTGTGGAGAACTACTGTGTCCAGACAGACCACAGACCCACCTTGCAAAAAACCTGCTGAAGATAGGAACCTTTTTTATGTCAGATGTGTTCTGAGATAAAATTAGACACATGAGGTTTGCGGATTTTTATTATTTTTTTAAGCATTTGGACAGAAAAAATAGGTTTTCCTGTAAATGTTGGCAAGTTGCTTCAAAGACAATTAAGCTTTTCCAAGCACCTCAAAACCTACAGAATATCATATATTAAAAAAGTGAAAGTTAATGAATAATTCATCAGCAGATAGTTTTAAGGTAGTACCCACAATGAGTAAGAGTGGGCCAACAGGCAGATATGGACTATAAAAAAAAAAAAGTGTTTTCAAATGATCTTCAGCATGAAAATATCTGCATCATTCTAAAAGGGGACTACATTTTCAGTGTTAGCATTCAGAAGCTTTTCAAAGAATCAGGAGCATACATCCCAGAAGATTTTGGAAATACCACTTTATTTTCCAGTGAATTATCTAACTTACAATACTGTATCATTGCTCAAGAGCCCTCAAATTGACAAAATACTAAAATCTACAGCTCCAGTGCAGTAAATTAGATATCTAACTCTTAATAAAAATTATCAGTGCAAATATAAAAGTGAGTCCAGAATGCAGTTAAATGCATTTTGTTATAAAGATGCTTGAGCTTTGAGCACATATACATCAAATAATCTAGTAAGAGAAGCCATTTTCAGTCTGTGCTCAAAACAATCAAAACTATTTCACACCCAATTCTGAAGACAGGCAAGAGCTAACTTTTTCTTTTTAAATGAAAGTCTGCACTTAGTTACAACATTCATCACAGGTACATAAGCTGAAAAATATTACAGAGATCACCTTCTATTCAAATAAGGGTTGTTCTAAAAGAGGCTTTCCTATTTTTCATGTGTGGGTTGGTTACTTCTGAGATATCTATTTTTTTTTCCCTCCACAACAGAGAATTAGCAACGTTCCAGCATGCCCCAGTGTCAGGAAGTCCTCTTTGCAGTCCAGATACACCACAATGATTGATGAAGCTGTTGGGGCTACAGTAGCAGGCAGAGCAGCTTGGCAGGAATTCAGTGTTATTGAAAGAAATCTCAAATACTTATTCCATCTCCTCTACTAACTTTAATCACACTATCAACATTCTGCCAGGAACGGAGCCTTGACACCAAGCCATAAACTTACACAAGCAACCACTGTTGGCATATTACTGTCGCAATGCAGGTAAATTCTGTTTATTTTTACCTGTTTCCATTCTATATTGGAGAGCAGCTAAATTATGAAAGATATTTCCTGTACTAATGGTTAGCTTGCAGCAAATTTCATTAAGGTACTATGTCTTTTTTTGCTTGGTTAATGAACTGATTAAGTTAACTTCTTCAGTTACACTGCTGTTAACTACAAGTTTTAAATAAAAGAAAGCAATACAGGGGTTTCACATATCCTGTAAGAGTAACAGTTAGCAAAGAAAGCAGATCAGTACTACTGGTGTTTTTTACCACTATCTGCTTCTTTGTTATGCTGACGAAGAAACAAAAATCTTTCCTCACTTGCTTTATAGAGTTCTAACAAGCTTATTCCAAGTAAACCAACAGCATGTCAAATATTTAAGGTAAATACTTTACTAGCTACTAAGCTAATGCAAAGACCAATATGCTGCTTGTGATTACTTTTGAGCTTGTTTTGGCTTTGCTTAGAATAGTAAAGCTTAAAAAGAGAGGCCTGAGACATTTAGAAAGACAAAATGAGTTGTCCAAGCTCACTTAGCCATTTTTATGTTAGCAAAACCTCATTTAAACCTCAACTCTATATCATAATACTGAACATACAACCCAAAAGTTGCAATTACAAGTGGAGATCTTTCATTGTTAAAGTTTCAAAGTAAAATATTCTGTAAAAAAAGCTGTTTTTCCTGAAATCCATGAACAGGATTTATGGTTTTCCCCGTGAATTCTCAGCTAACTATGGCTGGAACCTATCACACCTACTTTTTCGGAAAGGGCTGTGGCTGCACACTGGGAGTGTTAAGTGTTATATTAGTCTCTGTTTTCCCAAATGATATGATTCTCTCTGCAGATGGGCGAAAATTCCAGTTTGCAACTCCCTGAGCTGATGTAGTCACACAACATAGTTTCCAGTTCCACCTTCCAACAAACAAAGAAATACTGGCATTCCACCTGCCCTGAACAAAAGAAGCATAGATAGGCACTTAAGTTGAAAGTATGCAAACCTCTTCTTCCCATTCCAAACCTGTAGAGCAAATTGTCCTTTTTGTCCTTCCGTATTTCAGCTTTCCAAAAGAATCTAACTTTTAAGTCAGAAGCAACTGAGTATTGGCACAAACCCAGCATTATTAAAAAAGAAAGGTCTTAAAAAGAAACATATTTGGCCAGTTCCTTCTCCATCTCAGAATACTGCTCCTTGAGGCGCTCCATAGCTTTTCTGTGCTCTTCGTCTACCTCTGCTTGTTTGTTTTCTTGTTCCTTCATGAATTCCTCCCAGTGGGCTATGCGCTTCTCTTCACGAGCCATCAGCTTGTCTGCCTGAAGCTGAGAGGAAGAAAAGGTGAAGTTTTAACAAATCATTAAAACAGAGCGTTTAATGAGAGCTACATAATGTTCAGCTATCAGAGAAACTGGACTTTTACTTCAGTAAAGTGAAACTTGCAAGAAAACATATGAAGAGGTGAAACTGAAAGTGTATATTTATAAATTAGTCAACTATATTTTTATAGTCAATCCAAAACAAATGGTAAAATGTCTATGATATTGTTAATGTGATAGCATTAGCAACAATAGCTTTTCTATGCTACAGTCTGGTGGAAAATAATTACATAAATGGAAAGACACTTGGAAGTTACCAGCTTGCCTAGTTCACTTCTGTTAGTTTCTAAAAATTGTTGCATTATTTGGTCCTCTGATTACTGACAATGTAAGTAGAAGTACTTTAAGCAGCTGATATAAATCTTTATTATCTCACAAAGATTTTATTTTAAAAGGAACTTCTGATTTTAAAACCATACAGTATTCACTGCTTTTAGCCCCTCAGTTATAAGGAAAAAAAAAAAACATTTCAGTCAACAAATGAACACTGCCTTCCCTACCCCCCCCAATCCTTCTTCTTTTCCTGTGTCCACACATAAAGCAGCTGCCTACTGACATGAACAGATTTGCGGAGTCCACTGTTCTGCAAGTAACCAGAAGAGAAATAATATAAATGAAATGCATCTAATTTTTGATTAAGTGGTCTCAAAGAACCGACAATCTTTATCTAGTACAACAAGTACAGGCAGACCCATGTTATATGTGATACAGACTAAAAGTGCACTGGAGGCATTACTGTGTCTGAGTTATGAAAAAAACACTAGGCCCACTATATTTCATATTTGTGAGTGCTAGCCAAAATTTTAGAGAATTATGTTTGACTATTATTTAGGTACATACGCATTATCAGAGATTAAAGGATCTACTTCAACACTCAAGATAATGTTTCAGATTTTATGTCAAACGTGTAAATAGAATGCTTCTGTGTTTCACAACAAACTATGCTATATGTCAGCCAATCCTGCAACATATTGCTCCTCTTTTCTTGACATTTGCTATTTTCCCCTTGAATGTCTGATCTGTTGAAACAGAAGTATTTTCCACATTCCTGAATACCTTTTTAAAGCTAGAAACAAATCACATTCCTATTTTAACACAATGCTTAGGTTCAGCACAGCCATCAGATACTAGTCTTGATGAAAAGCCTCTAATACAAAAAGGAAAGAGTGAAATATAACAACATAGATAATGTTTTGAAACTGGCAGTTAGTGTTTCTGCTTTAGCCAGTTAGCTCTCACTGATTAATGTCTTCCTTTATAAACAAGTTATTTTTCCCCTCATACTTTCATACTGCTTGGCTTCTGGTAAGTCCAATTCCTTTCACTCTCTTATCTTGAAAAAAACCTAACAAACCCCAAAATAAAAAAGATATCTAGATATCTATAGAGAGAGATCATACACACATCCAACATGCATGTCAAAGTAAGACGTACTTCTGTGGATTGCTTGCACACAGTATTAACAGTACAGCCTCTTTATATCATAGACGCTTAAGTCACAATAATCTAGGCAGTTGTGCTTATATTTGCTCCATTTTCTAGCAAGAGAGAGGATTAATCCTTTTCTCTTTTTCTCCTTTTTAATAATGTATCACCAATGACTGTTTTCTACATAATGGTACTTTTATGTAGGAATAAATACTATCATACAGCTTTAACAGAAATCTGGCATTTTTGTCAACTAAAGGCATTGGGAACCCAAAGGCATTGGGAACCCATGTACGTATTCTTCAACACTCTGTATGTATGCGTTGTTCTTCAAGATTACACATGGTGGGTTAAGTACACTGTTTTTGCCATGCAGCATTTTACATACATTGTAACAATATTATGCCAAGTTCCATTTTGTTTGTAACAGATGCAATATCAGCTACTAACAAAATACACCAGTGTATAGTTTGACTACTACACTACTTCATATTTAACAGGTTTTGAAACCATTAGTGCATCACACACTTTTTGAGAGGACTGCACAGCACCTACCCAAACCACACTTCAGCTAGTCTAACCCATGCTCCTCACATAAATAGTTTGCAAGGTACATGAAACTCATGTTGCTACTTTCTATTTTCACTTTCCACTGCACCACTTCTATCCAAGGATATAAAAAAATTTACCTGGCAAAACAACCTATGAAATTTCTAGAACGTGAGATAGCAAAATTTACTTTATCAAAAATCTGTGGTCTAACTACTTTCTTCTCTCAAAACCCCTCTTGCATTCCCCTGTTCAATCATTCTTTAGCTTGTTCTGACACAAGAGAGGTGACATTGTGAAAAAAAAAAAAAAAAAGGCTATCAGCAGCCTAATCTATGCCTGAATAAAAATTTAAACAGGTGAGTACTGAGAAGCAATTGCTGTAAGTACTTATTCTTTAAATAAATAAATGCAAGCAGCATTCTGCTGAAATAGTAACTAATTTTTAGATTAAGATTTATGCTGGAAATAAAGTAACTCCAAAATAATTGCAACTTTCACCTTTAACAAAGTAAAAAGTTGTGGATATGTATAAACACTCTAGAAAAATAGAAAAGTAAAATGAAGCTATGCTAGAACAAGCAAGAACGACAAATACCAAGTAAAAGACACCAAGGACTTGAATACAGTTTTCACTCTCCCACCCTGGTAACGATTTGGAAAAATCCCACTATAGAAGTTCAGTGCACATCTTGAGCTCTCCTTCCTAGAAAACTAATTCAAACCCAACTCTTCTCAGAAGCACCTTCAGATTATTAACACTTACAGCTGCTGAGTGGGTATGTTGTGTGGGAGACAGTAATGATCTTGAAACCAGTATTCCTTCTCCTACCAGATGAATAGCAGCATCAACAGCAAAAATAACAAAATGTGATTCTTAATGGATGCATTGCCTTAAGATACTGATCTTTCAACCAAAGCATACGCTGCAGCATAAACTTGCTCCATACCCAACTGCAAGACCCAAGCTGCAACAGACACCATCCCTGATGCCTAAGGTACTAAATGGCTTCCTTCCCTCATCCAAGCCTTCTCTGCTGTCTCCTAAGAGCTGCTACCATGGTACAGCCTTTCACTTCGCAGAACATCACTAACAGTCTCTGAAGGACCCAGGCTCCCATGCAGGACATCAACATATAGCATTCCAGCCACAAAAAGATTTGGTTTCTCAGCACAGAAAGATGACTTTCACACTGCAGCTCTGCAAGTACCTTTCAGGTTTGCCCTATATTGTGCTTTCTAACCATGGTGCTCTTCACTCCTACCACATCTTCTTCATATTCAATGCTATTAACTTCACTGTGTTAATCAATTGACCATAATACACAGGAGGAAAAACAAATGAAATCAAGACGCTATGCAAAAAATACTGTGCCCTAACTCTAACTGTAGCACAGCTAGGAAGCACAGCGGTCCATATAGATAGATGAATAATCCCTCTTGTTAAATATGCCACTAACAGTCATGAAAAAAATCTTTAAAATGCAAAGTTTTTCAACATGTATAAACATCTTGGCATGATTTGTATTGGTTAGGTCAAAAGTCACTCTCAAAAACCAAACAGTTTCCGCAAGTCAGCATATTTACGTTTATTAGTGATCTATAAAGATAATACTGACTGAATTTTATACTATCAATTAGTAATTTCCAAATATATAGATTTGCAATAAGTTTGTTTTCCAGAAAACAATACACCTAGAATTTGATAGTGTGCTTGGCAAATTAATTTCCAGAGTGATTTTGTAAAAGTGAGAAAAATGTCTTCATTTTAAGAGAACTTCAGGCTATATTCTATCAATTTGTTATTTATAAAGCTTTCCGATGTCATATGACATTTCTCATTCCTCAATGTCTTACTACTTAAAACTGAAGAAATAACCTCAATCAATTTAAATATTAATATAAATCGGTATTATCATCTTAAGTGTCAGGATCCCCACTTATGAAGAATTAATTCATTGCACATTTAAACTCCTGCCAAGTAGAACAGAGCACATGAACATCATTTAAGAGAAGCAATCTGTGAAGTAAGTACCTCCTCTTGCTAAATATCAACTGCAAATTGAAACAAAAAGTTAAGGCCCTAGGTTATCTCATACAGCTTGCTGACACAAGTATCACAACAGCAAGAAGAATGATCAGTCTCTAGAGATCTGTATTACCTCAGTGCTGCTGATATACATAAAACTCCAATGTTCCTTTGCAAGTTAAAAATGAGTTGTCACGACTACAATAACATTCACACTCCAGCTTTTGCATGTTCTCAGCAATTTTGTATCCAGGAAATGTTTAGCAGCATTCTAAGCAATCTCAAACATGTTGCCATGTCTCAGTGGTTTAGGTTTAAAAAAACCCTCTCAAATTCAATAAGATAATAAATATATTCTAATGAATTACCAGTCCTCCAAAATTGTAATCTGGACATACAAGGTAATAAAGATGGCCATATTAGAGTAGTCCATGTTTTGATAGAGATGGGTGATAAAATAGCTTTTTACTTAAAAAAAAAGTCTAATCCACAAATCCCCACTCACAAGACAGTCTTGGTATTACAGAGCTACAGATGATTCTGGGATCAGTCTCTGCAGCTTCCCTAACCTGATGTATTCCCTGGGCAAGCAAAAAAGAAAGAACTGAAAACCTTTTACTTATAGCATTTATCCTGATGGTGGAGACCGATTTCCAGTTCCTTATACATTGTTTAAGTCCTAGATGACTGATGTCAATAACTACCTTTCATATTAAACCAGTTTATTATTCTTACATGCTTTTTTTAGTCAGCTGTTTCAAAGGAATACAGAACGGATGTACAGCCTTTATCTGCTTGGTTATTGTGTAGATTGAAAAGAGTAACCACTGCCACACATATATATATATATATATACACATACACACACACACACACATATACATGTATTTATAAATCTGAATTCATTGAGTCAATGACTCATGACAATTATCTTAACTTCCAAGTCAAACAATAACCCAAAGACCTTCATTAGCTGGGCCCCTGTAGGTGACATATGACATATTAAGGGACTAAGAACTTGAAATTGCCTTTGCATACTGATGGTATGAAGCATACTTCGCATACTGATGGTATGATGGTTAAGAAGCACTTTGGTCTTATCACAAAATTATAATGTGCATTCTGAATAAATACATATTCATATTTCATGAAGGTAGAAGAATATATTTTTTTTCCTGAGGTCCATAAACCACTTGCAGTAGTAAGAAATAACTTATGATCTGTTAAAATTAGTATTTTTTTACTGTCATGAAGGAGGAAATAATGCCTGCACATTTGAGAATGTAGGCACAGTTGCACAAGAATGTACTCCCTTTTTCTTCTTAAAAAAAAAAAATAATTGGAAGAATAGTAACTCAGTGTTAATTTTCATTATTTTTAAACCTGTAATGTTGCAACCAACCCAACTATGTAAAAGATAAACTGAAATAAATTCTGGCTCATGAACAGGCAGCAAAACAAAATGAAATAAAGATCTACAGAACTCCCAAATCACTGAAAACTTCTCATTACAAATTCTGGATTACTGGTAATGATTAAAAAACCAGATACAGACACCTTGGTTCTTAGGTTTCATTCTTTTGCTTCCAGGGCTACCAACTGGAGAAACTGTGACTTGTTAACTAAGAAAACATCAAAGAACAGCACATACAAACATGAAAATCAGTATACTTTTGTAGAACAACTTTTCATAGCATAGCCTAATTAATTCCTACCTTTTGTCATTTCAAATGTTAAACAAATCTATAAAAACTACAGCCTAAACTCACAAGTAAAAAAAAAAAACAAGAGAAAGAACACAAGGCCCTTCAGTGAGACTTCATTATAAATTAGAAAACAGCACCTAATAAACACAACACAGCCACCACAGAAAACATGTAAGTTTCCCCTGTTCTCCTCATCCAGTCAAGAAGTGTCTACAAAGTTGGTTTTGCATTTAATTGTACAAACATACCAGTACATGATAACAAAACAGAAGGCAATATTATGATACCACATTTGGGCTTCAGAACACCACATTTTGTTCTTAGACAAAACATCATGACCTTTGCAGCATGGGAAAATTGCCATATGAACTAAAGCATGCAGACAGATGTACCTGAGCCAAGAGAAGCCTTAGGCAGTTCACGGTATTGGTACAATACTTAGACAGGAACCGAAGAGTCACCATAATTAGCTATAAATTGTAATGTGTTAAGCATTAGACAATCCAACATTTCCTGCCATGCTGTAGATTTCTATTTGAACCAAAGGATCATTTAACTGTCAGCAACAGTATATTATGCTTTATACTTCTACTGTCTGTGTTACCGACTGGCACTTATTATCATCTGCTGCAAAGAAAAAAAACATTTTTACCCCACCTGAAAATACCTATGAGGTAGTACAAATGGTATTTCTCCATGACTGTTAATTTGGTAAAATTTGGATAAATTTTTTTTGTTGGTTTAATCAGAGAATCTTCTCCTCACCCTCTTACACTCTTAGAGCTCCAGCTCTATCCTATAAAGTTTCCAGCTCCAGAACACACTGATAAAGCTTTTTCCTGACTTTGTCTGCTGGTTATCCATTCTTTCAGTATTCCTCTTCTCCAAACAGTCTGTCAGCTGTTCTGCTAGAAGTGCCTTCTGTCACCCAACAGAACATAAGACATAGCAAGCTGTTAATCTTCACTTTTCATATGTAACCTGAATACTTGGCTTCAATTTATGTCTCTCAGTATAACTTCATAAATACAAGGGTTTGGGAAACTCAAACTGAGCTTAGAATCTGCTCTATGTTTGTAACAATGCCTACTACTTTTATGAGTATTTTTTTTTATAGGATGTTTAAAGTTGGAAGATTTTCAGATTTCATATTCATATAAAAAGTTGAAAATACTTTTAAGTTTCATAATTTTGTTTAGATATAAACCAAAGCTCATTGAAATTACAAACATAGTTGCTGCCTTATTAATTCCCGTTCTGGGAATTCCCTTTGGTGTGTTAGCAAATTTGCATATTTTGGCAGTGACGTCTTTCATATTCCTTTTGTATCAATACCTACGTTCAGACATTAGTTATTTGGAAAAAATCTGATTATGAAACCGTTTTTTCACTCAATAGTGCACAATGATTGAGCTTGAAAGACTAGTAAAGCCTTCTTATATACTGTACTGACTCACATGAGTTGGTTGCATTTGTTTCTATCCTCATTTTACTGTCATTAGCTATGCAAAAAATTAGCATTTTTCAAGACCATAAACTTTTTCAGTAAACTTTGGTTTTTGTATTTCTTTGGCTATTTTTTCTGAAAGAAAAAAATCCAAGCAAAAACACATCAGAAAAGCCCAAACCAAAAAAATCCACTATTTGAGGCAGACAGACTCTGAGAAATGTTACTATACCAGTTCATGCTACAAGAAATTAAAAGATAAGACCATAATAAGTGTTAGGTAGCTTCCAGTATAAGCAGTCTATAAATGCTTCTTTCAATGACAGTCCTGTAATCACGAATCACTTTACACCTTAAGTGAGAATGTGATAGGGCCAACATCATTTCCCTTTTGTTACCTGGATGATACCAGTAGCTGGAAGGAATTGCAAAAAAAGATAATTAGTAAAGCAAATAATTTTAAAATTCATTCTATCCAGCAGAAAATGAATTAATTTCACTGAGGGCTGCTAACACTAATAATCACTTGACACTAGAACCTACCAAATCCCCTTTATCTTTTCAGAACACGATTTCAGAAAGAAAAGCAAGGAAATAGTATTTCTTCTCAATGACAACTTTCATAGATAATTTAAAAAAGGTTACCTCTCTTACTACCCACATTTGGAAAGTTTCAAGCCAAAAAGTCTTACTATACAAGCTTCAAGGAGACGCTACAAATCCTGAATAGCTATTAGTATTTCTCCACTGCATATGAAAAAAAAAAAAGAGTGGAAACATACAGCTAATATTTTTAAAAAGAACAGTTACTATTCTTGAGTGTTCATTTTATGTTACAAATTTTTATTGAAGTTTTACTTCAAACAAACAGTAGCAGAACTGTAAGAATTTCCAACTTAACCTCTCTACCAGTATCTACACTAGTGTTAGAAACAAGCAAACTTTGTCAAGGTTCAGCAGTGTGCTGTTCACACAGTACCAGTATTCAGTTGGAACTGGACTGCCCATCTTCATCGATTACAAAAAGGAAAGAAAAACACGACTATCAGCTTACATAAATCAATGCAGAGCCTGTTTTGCATGATGGTCACAGAAATGTCTTCAGTTCTTCTGAACTAAATAATTATAAATAACATTTTGCAAGTAAAAAGGTAACACAGGAACACAATCATGAAGGAGTAATGAGAAATGTGAAACTAATTTCTAGTGTAATTTTCTAAATTTTAGATTCAGAGCACATGTATTTCAAATGAGCAAAGTGTAGCCAACTGAAAAGATTCCAATGATTCGCATGTTCCTATAATATAGCCCTTCATTAAATAACCCATCCACAAGCGAAAAACACACTTCCTTTTCAACAAGCAATATATATAATATGGTCAATGTTCTGAGCTAACTTGGAAAGATTTACATTTCCATTCTGGTAGGTTAGTAGGTGTTTTTTGTTCCACAGAAAAATAATTTTTTTTAATATTTAAACTTTCCCTCTATGTGACAAATAATATAGTCTGAGCTAGGAGGGAAAATAAAGCAAAGGAAATAAAAAAAAATAGTTTCCATATATCAGGAGATTGTAGGAAGAGCTAGTGATCCATTAACTTTGCAGTAGAGAACATATTTACAGCTGTAGTGTTTTCTAAGTGCAGAAATCACCCCAAAACTTTTACTGCAAGTCTGTAACATATAGAAAAATATGCTTTTAAGTGTTGTTATACTGAAGGTAGATAAACTTGCTGTAGAAGCACAAGACTCTGAGATCACATTACAAAAATCTACCCATCCATCCATCCTTTACCTTCCTCTCTTCATGCTCCCTCTCTTGGAGTCTACGGAACATATCATTGGCAGCTTGCACTGAAATAACAAATTGCAGTAGATCAATCTGCTGTTCTAAATCAAAGAAACTCACCTGAAAGGGATTTAAAAGACATGAGGCTATTGCAAGTCAAAGATTATATTCCACTATGTCACTTTACTCTGTATGAAAAAGATTTGCCAGTACTTGCAGAAAATGCTTTACAATGGTAACTGTATGTAGGCATATCACCAAGTTCAACCCTTGCATGTTCCAGAAGCCAGGAAGAGAAAGGCAGCTAGGTCTTCTTGTGCCCGTACTCCTTAGTGTTGCTGACAAGCTAGAGTGCACTACTCAGCACCACAGAAGGCATCAAAAAACCTCTCAAACCAGTGAGTTGAAACAGGTGACCAAGCTCTATGTTTTAATTGGCTTTTTTTATTCCTTATTTTTTCCCCATCAAATGTAAAAAGTGATTTAGTATAAGCAAGCTACATGGAGAACATCTTTACGTTGGAGCCAGCCTCTTCTCTCTAGAGACTAAGCCTAGGAAAACTTCTCAGTGGAAACAGAAACTGTATTCCTATGTAGTTTTTTTCCCTAACTTATTTAACACTTAATTAATGCAGAATTAAATAAACTAATTTCCCCAAAGCAGTTAGTTCTCCTACTAATATATTCTACTATTGAGAAATACCTGACTTATCATCTTAGTGTGTGACTTATCATCTTAGTGTGTGACTTATCATCTTAGTATCTCAGGTGACTTCTCACACGAGGAGGCAGGGTCCTGCCCCCCTGAGGACTTCCAGTTACAGAACAGGTTCACTGCACTTTCAGCTGATGAGGAGCTGGGAGCACCATGAATTGGAGTGGTGGCTAAGCCGGAGCCTCTCAGGACCATCAGAAGACAGTGGCAAGGGACAGTTGTAGCAGACTTCCTACAGCAGGGGACAGAAGCTCCCTGCCCGTTGATATGTTTTGTTATCTAGAGAGGTTACTGAGTCTTGGACTATTACCCCTGCTGCTCTTTCACGTAGACAGCATTGGTATTGCAGGGGTGACCTGAGAAATACCAGGAATGACTACAGAGATCTGGGAACACTGATCAAAGGCATGGGGGTCCAGGTAATGTTCTCTTCAACCTTCTAGTGAGGTGGACTTGATGGAATTTTAACAGCTGGTTGCACAGTTGGCATTGGCAGTACTGTTTCAGTTTCTACATCCATGAGACCCATTCTGAGCATCAACACCCGCTTGGAAGAGATGGGATCCACCTAACTACACAGGGCAAAAGTATCTTTGCCAACAGCCCAGCCAACCTGGCAGGGACAGCTTTAAACTAGAAATGACAGGCGAGGGAGTGTTTCCTAATTAAAAAAAAAAAAAAAGTTTGGGATAGGGTAGGCAAACAAAGGGTCCGAGATGATGGTTACAGAAGGGACATAGCACCCTTTTCAAGGATCATCTCCTCCAAGTTCAAGGAAGGTCCACCCCAACAAGTAGGAAAACAAGCAGGAGGCCTGTATGGATGAGCAAGGGGCTCCTAATTGAATTCAGACTTAAAAGGGGAAGGGTATAGGAGGTAGAAGCAGGAGCAGGTGACCCAGGAGTATAGAGTTGCTATGTGATGTGACAGGCTTAGGAAAGTCAAAGCTGATCCAGAGTTGAATGTGGTGAGGGGTGTGAAGGGCAACAAGAAAGGATTCTGCAAGTACATAAACAGCAAAAGAAAAACTAAGGAAAATGTAGACCCTCTGATGAATGGGGCAGGAGAGCTTGACAACAATGAACATAGGAAAGGCCAAGGTACTCATTGCCTTCACTGACTTAGTCTTTACCATAAATACCAGCCTTCAGGGAACCCAGGCTCCTGAGACCAGAGGGAAAGTTGAGCAAAGATGACTTACCCTCTGTGGAGGAGGACCATGTTAGGGAGCACTTAAACAAACTGGAAATATATCGAGTCCACGGGGCCTGATAGGTTGTGTCCACAAGTGCTGAGGGAGCTGGCTGATGCCACTGCGAGACCACTCTCTTTCAAAGGTCACTGCGACTGGGACAGGTTCCTCAAGACTGTATTCCTATCTTCAAGGGCAAGAAGAAAGATCCAGAGAACTACTGACCAGTCAGCCCCACCTCAATCTCAGGAAAGGTGATGGAAAAAGTCCTCCTGGAAGCATTTCCAAAAACATGAAGAACAAGAAGGTGATTGGCAGTAGTCAACATGGATTTAGGAATGGGAAATCATCCTTAACTGTCCTAATAACCTTTTATAATGCAGCAGCTAGCTAGGCAGATAGTGGGAAAGCAGGTGATGTTGTTTACCTCAGCTTCAGGAAGGCTTTTACACTGTCTCCCATAACGTCCTCATAAACAAGCTAACAAAGTACAGGTTAGGTAACTGGACAGTGAGGTGGACTGAAAACTGACTGAACAGCTAGGTCCAGAGTCTGAGATCAGCAGCACAAAGTCAAGTGGGTTGCAAGTCACTAGTGGTTCATGCCAGGGGTCAGCACTGCATCTGATACTGTTTAACATCTTCGTCAGTGACACAGATGCTGGAGCAGAGAGCCCCCCCAGCAAGTTTGCAGAAGACACAAAACCAGGAGGAGTGGCTGAAAGAATATACTGTTGTGCTGCCATTCAGAGGGACCTTAAGCAACTGCTGAGTTGGGCTGAGAAGAATCTTATGAAGTTCAACACAGAAAAATGACAAGTCCTGCATCTGGGGATGAATAATCCCAGGCAGCAGTACACACTGAAGACTAAAACACATGCTGCACCTGTGGTAGTCTGTCCACTTCTGGGCTTGCCAGTAAATGAAATAGATGGACTTACTGGAGCAAATCCAGTGCATGGCTACAAAGACAACCAAGGGATTGGAGCATCTTTCATGTGAGGAGAGGCTGAGAGACCTGGGACTGTTCAGTGTGGAGAAAAGGCAACCCAGGGGGGACCTCATCAATGTAAATAAATATCTGATTGAAGGGAGTGATGATGAGGGAGCCAGACTCTTCTCTATAGCGCTCACTGCCAGGACAAGAAGCAGTGAGCACAAAATGAAACACATAAGATTCCATCTGAACACAAGAAACCACTTTTTTCCTGTGAGCATGGTCAAACACTAGCACAGGTTGCCCAGAGAGGTTTCAGACTATCCATCTGTAGAGACATTTGAAACCCAGCTGAACACAGCCCTGGACAACTGGCTCTAGCTGCCCCTGCTTGAGCAGGGAGGTTGGACAAAACAACTTCCAGAGGTTCCTTCCCATCTCAACCATTCTGTCATTCTATTACTAATGAGGTATGGCACAGGTGACCATTAGAAAGACAGGGATATCAAAGGTTCACCCCATTTAGAAGGTATTAGAAGACATGCTCTATTTCAATGACTAAATTTTACGTTTCAAATACTTTACGGCAATCATTTTGTGTGTATAGCATCATCTACTATTTGTTATTCTGCATATGTCAGATGACATGTAAGTTGTATGAAATTAAATGCTTATACAATATGCTATACATAAAATATAAAACACCCCACACTGGCATGTTTCAACTGCATAAATCTGGCAGCTGAAACTATATAGTTGCACTCCCTTAAAATATCTTTTTGAGAAGCTATCCTGCTGAATAAGAAAAAAAAAGATGCTGAAAAATTAGTACAACAAATTTTAAAATTTCTTCTAAAATCTGAGCAATAAAAAAATATATCAGGTGGTTATAATGATGAATCTAGGATTCACATACAACAGCTATTACTCCTACCCTGTTTGTGACTAAAGATAGTAATAATAGCATATTTCATAGCTACACAGCAGCAAGTTTTGTTTTAAATCATAGGGGGCAGTATTACGCTTTTCCATGGGAAAATTAAGAAACTTGAAGGTCACACCATAGCATGATTGCAACAAACCCGAAAACTGAAATTTTGTCCATGGCTTTAGCCAACACAGAGCATTATCCTGTTTCCAAGTGAGTAGCAAAAGATTGAGCTGAAATAGTTTCTACTTAAATAAGTAAAAATCTTTAATGTAACCTTAGCAAGAGCTGTGTTGGCTGGACCAATGAATATAAAAATGTCCCTGTTTACATTTTAAAATTTCACAGAAATGAGAGCAAAGCACATATATGGTAGAAAATCTATCCAAGGACAGGGATTTTTCCACAAATCATATTTTGAATCCAAACTATTTAAATTATTCCTCAAATGATGCAACAAGGGAAATAAGAAGCAACATGCTTACATCTCTTGAATGCTTCATTCAAATTGTCATGCATTGCCTGCTCACACTTAGGAAGAACATGTTCATTCGTTTCAAAGATTGTGTTCTTTAGATTTTCAAGTACTCGTAGTTCTCGGAGGCCACGTTTTTCCTGGCAGAAGAATATAAAAGAAAATGAGTGGCTAACAAGGAATTCCATTTTTCAAAATAAGATGGTTTCCCAGTTGATAAACTAATAGCTTTATATCAAAGACTATACCATTGTCTATTAAACTCTACTTATTTAGCACAACTGATAAAATTAGTTTTGTGGGGGGAAAAAAACCCACCAAAACCAAAGACAGTAATGCTCCATTCTTCATATTAAAATACAGAAATACTTTGAATGACCATTCTGGCCTTTGTGAGAAAAGTTAGTATTTACTAATGAAAACACTGTGTGGAAAATGTGTTGTTATGTATTGATTACTTACAGCATACCAAAAACAACAGAGAGAAACACAGCTTGAAAGCATTCCATTTCAGTAACTCAGTTGTTACAGAGCAATAACATAGCAGTGATTCTGCTTGCTTGATGTCTGACCGTCCAGATTTAGCATGGTACAAGATTAAAACAATGAAAGCAAGATAATTTTTTTACTGAAGTAAAGCAATAAAGTCAAGACTAAAAAAATAACATAACACAGCTGACTAAAAAGGCAGCCCTTCTTCTGGCTCACTGCTGATCATGACTAATTACAAGAACAATACGCTCTTGCTTTATTGTTTACATTAAAAAAAAAAAGGTATCTGTTTTTCTGAAGCCACAGCACTACTTCCACTCTGAGTTTCACTTGCACCTTCCTTTAAATAATGAAAAGGATTCTGAGATCTGCTCCAGACTGCTGCCTGCCTCTTTCCTACTTTTCTCTCTTCAGAGTTACAAGTTGCACACAAGCATTCCTGCACTGAAAGTTGTGAATGATAAAGCAATTCTAGATAATCAAAAATCCCTGTATTGCATAAAGCGGGTAACTGGATCACCATACCTATTTCAGAAAGAAGCTTCAAAACTTCAGAAAGAGAGGAGGCACAAGCAAGTAAAGCTGCTTAATTAAACAGGCTCCAGACTTCCTGAATGCAAATCTACATTCTTTACACACTAAATGCTAATCATTTAAAGAAGCAGCATATAGAATCATAGAATGGTTTGGGTTGGAAGGGACCTAGTTGCAAACCCCCTGCCATGGGCAAGGACACTTTCCACTAGACCAGGCTTCTCAAAGACCAGTCCAGGCTGGCCTTCCTTTTCTCATCCTATTTATGCACCTTCCTGACCCCTACTTCCCTCTAAAGAAAGAAATGTAACAGCAAACTAAATTATCTACTTTAACCCAGATCCTAGCATAAGCAAGCTTTAGTTTTGTAATATTCTTTTCAGAAACATAGGAAAACTGCTTCCATATGACCTACTAAAAAAAAAATAATCTGATATCTCTAAGTTGGAAACAAGTGCAATTTTTTTAAGAAATATTAAATTGCAAAAATGTAAATAATCCTCTGCTTTTCTATTTTTCCCTAAAAGTATAAACCAGAAATTAAATTTCAAGAAAAGATATAAAAATATATTAAATTTGTCTAAGAAATAGAACAAAACTTTGGGTGCAATAAGAGAAATATATGAACTATAAAGATGAGTTCTAATTTCGTAACTGAATTTAAAATTTTCCTTCTAATGAAAAACCATGTAAAACTATTTACTGTATGCTATAACTTATTTAAGGAAGGCAAAGAAAATAAATCATTCCTTATGATTCTCAAGCCCATACAATACAGATCTAATATGAGTTTAGTTCACTTATGCATTTTGCTAAACCAGTACAGAGGCAAATTAGACCTGCTTGAAATATTAGCTACAAATGGAGTGCAAGAAGACATTAAAAAAAAAAAAAAGCACTTCATACTGGAAGTTTGAGGTATCACTGTATTTTCAGGACTAATTTTAAGATTTTAAATTCCAAATTCTGCAAGAATGAAAATCTACTCATAAAGAGCCTTTTGTTGACACAAGATTCTCTTATACTTACCTAAACTTCTGCTGCCATCTTGTGGCAAGTCTTTCAAGGAAATTTGTATATAAACACTTCTACACCTTCAGTACTTTCTTTCATGCAACAAAAATTAAAGCAAAATTAAATCATAACTGTACTAGCTGAATCTAGCTAAGGCATAAAGCAATTTCTTAATCACATGTACACCTATGCTGGCCAACAATATTCTCCTTGAATCCACCAGACTTCTCTCAGATGTTAGGACTACATTGTTCTTCTATATCAATATTCCTGACATTTTTTTTACAGGAAAAATACTTACGCCCTTTTCAAGTTTTTTTTTTAAATAAAAAGACCTAAATTACTGCCTTGTTTACTAAAGATGCAGACATATACTATGGATGTGTTAAATTATCTGGGGCAAGAAATACATGTCAGGTCTTTCTAAAGAAAATGACATACATATTATAATCTCCAGAAAGATGCTAATACTGTTTAAAGTCTCAGACTCTGAAGATTACAACACCCAATAAGATACAAATACTTACTTCAAATTCTTTAACAAAGTAACGTATTTCTCCCTGAATTACTGGTCTGTGATCCAGTAGTCTTGAATAGATTTCCCCAACATCTAGAAGATTAATGAAAGTCAGATTTTCAGTTTCTCTCTCACACTTCATACTAGGCTACACAACATAAGGTAGCACAGCCTACCTCAATGCAAGAAGGACTACTGCTCACCAAATACATACAAAATCAAAAGAACACCAGAAAAATACTTATTGGCTATTCTATCTAAGTTGGTGGTTCGCTGAATAGATAAAATGCAATGAATCACTATTCCAGGTGTCACAGACACCCTTCTGTGAAAGTGAACATTCTCCTCTGTCTCCCAGCACCCTCTGTTTCAAACCTCCTCCTCAGGACAGCTTCCAGATCTGTTAATGGTGGTGAAAGAGCAGAACTAGATGCTGCAGCCCAACAGGGATTCACAGCTTAAGCTGTGAGAGTTTTTTGCAGCAAGAGACAAGAGGAAAGCTCACTACAAAGGAAAACTGTCAGCATTTTCTTGTATTCCAGGGCCAAAGACTTAGAACTTTGTCTTGAAGAAGAGTATTTACAACATAAATATGTATGAAAAATAGGCTTGGCTGTCATACAGGAAAAAAAGTGCTCATTAAATTTAAAAGCACTCTGATAGCATAGCAAATAAAGACTATTTCAAGAAACAGACAGTGTTGTGCCATAAACACTTTAAACTGATGCTGAAGTGACATGGGCATCTAAAGAGCCCTACTTTTTCCTCCTGCCCCTCCGTGGCTCTCCCTCTCTCCACCACGGAGCTCAACACTCCGAATCCCACCCCACTGGAAAAAAGTGCAGAGCTTTCAAATTTGAGCAAAGACACGATTGCAGTAAATAAAGCACAGGCTAAAACACTTCCCAGTTCAAACGCTTCCGTGTGCAAATTCACTAGGAAAAAACGCGGGTGCTTGGGTGAACAAAAAGACTTCCCAGGAAAGTCGGTGGCGGTAGCAGGGACGCAGCGGCGGACTCGGCTGCCCCAGGTAACACCACACAGTTTCAAGCTCCGGGAGAGGAAAGCCAGGAAAGCCTCCCGGGTGCTCAGCTCCAAACCTCGGGACGCTTCGTGGAACCGCAGCAGGCTGGGCAGCGGCCCAAGGGACCTTTAACGCCTCATCCTCCTCCACCGCCGCAGGGCCACTCCGCCCCGCTCAAGGGCCGCGCTCCCCGCCAGGCCCCACGGCCCCCCACCCCGCCTGTCTCCGCCATAATT